CTCAGGGGCTTAGTTATAATTCAACCAAAAGGAAACTATGCGAGTGTAATCATTATGACTCTTCACCCTTTTCCACTGCTATCTATGAATTTGCTATATTCAGATCAAGGCTGGTTATCAAAGAAGTCAGCTTAGATCCTGAGCTCTGTGGGACTCAGATGCACAATCTTTGTGTTGTTACATCCCTGTTTCCCTAGGAACCTGGGCAAAGGTTGCGCAGAAACACTCAAAGAGAAAAAGAACACTCCACTGTGGTCATAAACGGCCACATGGCTACACCATTGCTTCCTAATGTATAGTTATTGAACTATTGACTCGGGCTGAGAGAGTGGAACTCTCAAGAATTTCTTTTTCTGTAGGAGTCCTATGGGCAAAAAAAAAAAAGCCTTAAAAGTAAGGTCATGTTATGAAAATATTTTGTAGAACTTCCCTTGAGATGTTCATTTATGTTTTCTACAAAAATATCAGTCATTTTGTTTATTTTGTGTTGTCTTAGTCACCTGTCCCATATTTTCCCAATAAGTACACAACTATGGCTTGGTGATTTCTATAGCGATCGCCTCGATGAAAGATCTTGGTATATTGCTGTGAGCTAATTATCCTAATCCCATGCTATGCAAAGGATTCCATGTGATTTACTTAAATTCTCACACAGGTTTCTTCTTTGTGCCAATATGTTTACAATATATTTTGGTATGAGATTCTAGGGGAGAAGGCAGAGGTTAGGGGAAGACATGAGAGGGAGACTGTTTTTTGTTTTTTGTTTTTTCTTCTCAGAAAAAAAAAGTGTAACAAAAATGACCTTGCTGTGTGACACTATGTTTAATCCCGCTAAAACAGCTATCTATTAGAATAAAATTAGTTTCAGTCATAAAATTCTTCCATCCCATATTCAGAACTTTCTGCACTGAAACTCATGGGTTAGATCTACTTAGATTAGCAACTAAATATAAATGAAATGATTAAAGAAAAAAAACTAAGAAATTAATTTTATGTTTAGTGAAACAATGACCATTATTTCCATTATTTTCAAGCATTTAGAAAATAATACACACGTAACCAATTATTTTGTAAAGTTATTTTAGAAATTTATATGTTTTCTGCCTTTTCAGTGCCTTTTAATCCCTACCATATTTGGAAAAAAGAATTTGTCATACAGTAGACAGATATAAATGTATGCAAGTTGTTAATTACTTCTGGGATTATGTAAGTCTAACGAAGTCCAGTTGAGTTTTCATATAAAGAAGGATCTCACAGGGAATCATCATTACAGGATGGATTACAAGTGGATTTCTTTTATGAATTTAAATATGGCAGTTTAAAAAGCCACATATGCTATGCTTACAAAGCTCACACACTATATATTTATTTTTATTTATATTTTATTGGCTTGGCTTTTAGATAGGAATCCTTAATTTAGCAATAAATTCTTAGCTAAGAAGCCCCATGAAAACTCCTGGGCATCAGATTATGGAAGAAAATAAGACCTAGCTGGTTTTCAAATTAATTAAGTACTGCTGCCTTTTAAAAGATTAAGACAGGAGAATATACAACTAATCAATCATATCTTCTACTAGGTTTTCTTTTTTTAATCAGGGGAAAAATTATTTGAGCAAGATTCAAGATCCCATAGGAGCAATTGGGCTCATAGCAATAAAATAACTCATTTGTGATGAGCAGAAAAATATTATTGCTATAAAATTTGATTAATAAATCAATTGGTCCTTTAAAATATCTGCTTATATGGGTGACAGGCTTAGCCTCACACCCTCTCCCAAGTTGACAACGTTTTTGCAAATGCTGTGACATTGGTGAACAACCTGTAGTTATACTGAGAAGCATATAAAACATGTTTGATAATTTGTGTATAGTCTCCATGTATGGTGTATTATGTAGGATTCCCAAGAAGGCTGATATAAGTGGAATAGAATTGTCTTTTCAATGCATAGTACCCATCCTGTCTTTATACCATTTATTAATTTAAAAATGTCCCAGTTGCTTTAAAGTAAGACTCATTATGAGCAAGAATTCAGATACTTATAGATGTTCCTGAAGTCATCTTTACCAATGATAATAAATAAGTGTGCTTATCTTTAAGCTTTAAAAAAGTGATTTGATCAGTTTTTTTTATATGCACAATAAATGACCTGTAAAATGTAGAATAACAGAGTCACATAATTGGATGTTTAAATACATACAGACACATCATATGTATGTTTGTATATATGCATATGTGTATTTTGCTCAGTAGTTATATTTAGTATATTATGCTCATGGTGAAATCTCACGTAAGTCATGCATTCAAAATGATTGAAAAATTGCTCTCTAGTAGGTGTTATTTTTTTAGACACTGCAGCTTTTTCTTGAGACCCGATTCAATTTATTAAAAATGCATTCAAACATTAAAAATATACTAATGTTCCTTATGTTTACTTGCCTACTCAGCATATGTTGCTCAGTTGTGTTCAATTCCTTAATGATTCTAAATCCTCATTATTTTGCACTAATGAAGGGGATGCCCTTTATAAATTAACAAATTTAGTATACCAAAATACTGCAGGAAAATATGATGCTTAAATAACCATCAAGGAGATTGCGGGATTTAGTAATTTTAAAATCTATAATTTAAACTAAAATTATTTTCAATTACACTTACAACAAAAGATTGTTTTCTAAATCTACGGATTCTACACAAAGCACAAGTAAAAATGCTTGCTGAGTTGTTTTAATAAAAAAGATTAACTTTTCTTATTAGCAAGATTGTTTTAGTATAGAAGTATGTAATTTCTGAGCTTAAACGTCCCTCAAGATAATTCAGAAGGTTTTTATTTGGAACTATAATCATTAAGGATATTTTTTAAAGTCTCCAGCATACATATCTAATTATAGGAAGGGAAGTTATTTTAAGTTGTCTCTCTATAGATGCATCTTTATGGTAACCTCCTGTTCTGGTATTTTTACATAACATTCAATTAGAAAAGGAAATGTTATGGTTAACCTTTCCTCTAGTGTGAGATCCTTTTATGCAGGAGCTAGAAAAGCTCTGATTTTGTTGTTTTCTCTTGGAAGGTCACAATGACCAACTCTTTAGTTTGTCAAAAATAAACGTCTTTATTCATGTTGCGATTGGAGACTTCGGCCAATCCTCGTGTCGCACAGCTTACTGCTTCAGTCTGGCTGTCACATCATTGATGGATCCGAAGCACAGAGTGAGGAAGCATCTCTCCTAACATGAGCACTTTGCTTGGGATTGTGGTTCTTCTTCTAGGTGTTCAAAGAGAAAGACAAATGCTGTGAATCTTTGGTTAAAAAAGTTTCTCTCAGATAAAATTTTCCCCAAAGAAGAAGAAATTCATTTTCTGCAGCCCAAATCAAGAGATTGCCATATCACCTACTCAGACTATCCTCTTTAATGGCTGCTGCTTGAGAAAGTCCGAAGGATATTATACACCTTCACATACTGATTCCTTTCATTTTGTTCCATTTTTAGTGGGTAAGGACTTATGTAGGCAACTTTGATGCCTTGAGAATAATCTCACACCCTGAATGGTTTATCCTCCTCCTAATGCTGGGTCAGAGAGGATCTTCTATACTTAATTTGCACGAGAAAGACACATTTGGTCTTACTAAAGGTACATTTGTGATCTTTATATATTTATATTTAACCTGATGCTTATTTTTCAACATCTCTGGTAAATCTCACATGCCATATTTTTTCTTCCAATTCTACAAAACCTTGTATCCCTAAAGAAGCCTCTGAAGTTGAGGAAATATTGTCACTTAAATTCATTCCTCTTACCTATTAGACTAGTCCTATCATGGAAACCCTAAGGGTCATATCTATATTTAAAGATGATTACATTGATCATGAACATGTCTAACTCCAGGATTACCAGGCTATTAATTCAAACTTAAAATGATAGTTTATATGACCTGCTTAGGATAGAGTAGGCTCTAGTAACTTTTGTAATATATATATATATATATATATATATATATATATATATATATATATATATATATATATAATATACACACACACACAAATATGTTACAACAGATTCAGCTTATTTTTTTGTCCTTGTTAGTAAATAGTAAGTAGTAGAATACTATTAAGTTATTTAACGATAATTATACACACAGTGAAGGTTAAATGATATTCGTCATTGCATTTCTACATCTTTCCAGGCTTCAAAACACTATGCCTTACTGAAAATATTATATCTTAACAACTGAAACCCTTTTCAGAAGGACTGAATGAATACAGAATTAGTTAGACAATGTAATCATTCTTTATTCTACCATAAAGGTGTTAAGAAAGCAAGTCAAAGTTTGAAGAAGACTATCACAATTCCCATGATAATGGTGTGCTCAGAAGTGTGCAGGTTTATTCTTCATTTATTTGGGATCAGAGCTGTCAACTTACTCCATGCCCTGCCCTGAGTAGCTATGAAATGTCAATCATATGAAAAGGCACCCATCTTGATTACCATGGTAATTTTATGTAGTGTTCAAAGCCAGAACTTGTTTTTCATCAATCTCAACTAGAAATATTGCTTGCTCTTGTTTTTGAACAGAAGTGCAATTTCCCAAAGATCTATAATTTAAAAAATTTTGACCACAGCTTTGATCTTATAACTTTCATTGTCTTAGTTCTGCTGTTTCTACCTTCCTGCCTGAGGAGGAGCCACCAGCCCCTTTGCGGTCTATTCTCCTTCACTGACCCCAGTGGGGGCTATGAATTCTTCCTAATTATTCCAGGACAGCTCATCTCTTGGTCTTTGCTCAAGAAAGAAGAACTACTTATCTAGAACAGTTCTTTTTGTTGTGGTTATTTTTTTTGCATTTCTCACTCTCTGTACGAATAAAGGCTGGGCTTTCAACACCCCTTTGCAATACTTCCTTCCTTTACACTCATTTTTAGGTTGAAGGCAGGCTGTGGAACTGGTTCCCGGCCTGATTATACATCATAATATCCTATCACCTTTTCTTTTTTGCAGAGAGCACCACTGGCATGCCAGCCTCAACTGAAACAGCATATGTGTCTTCAGGTAAGGAAAATGAGCTCATCAAATTTTACTAACCAGGATGACAGACATTAACTGCTGGCCGCTCCTCCTACTAATCAGAACCCCTAATGCTTCCAAATTTCAGCTGTTCTTGTTTTCTGCCCCAGTATTTTACTCCAGCTCTTTCTGCCTTTTTGGATTTTACTTAAAGGAGTACAGTTCTTGATGTATATCTGAACTTGGGCCTGAGAGGCAAGCATGAGAAAAAGAAATCTACATCTAGATACAATTTTGTGACATTAGACCAGTAAAGGAGACATCTGGATTATAAATTCAGTGTTTATATCTTTATAGGTGCTCCTCTTGGCTACCTGTGCTCTCTTTCATCCATCACATTTGATAATGTATCAATGTCTGCTTTCTGACCTTCGGTCTCATGATGATCAGCTGTGGCTCACTAAACTAAAAAAAAATATATATATTACTGTCATAGGCCTGACTTTTTAAAATGTTGGCACTTTTTTTTGGTTTGTTTTTGTTTGCTTCTTACTTACCTATAATGTTTGCTGATAGCAAATAATAGTCTGAGCAGATACTCGTTACTTACAACCCAACTCCACTAATGCATGTATAACTGTAATTCATTGACTTATTCACTAGCTGTGAATTGAACTAATCTACTCTATTTTTTTTTTACTTTTTCTTATCCTCTGTAATTCTATAGTTAACAGAAGTTTAAAACATTTAAACATTAATATTTAATTGGAAGCAAGTTTCTGTAGACCTAGCTTCAAAACTCAGTTCAAAGGTATAACTACTTGTTTTTTTCTTGATGCTTTAGCATTTACAAAGATTTTTACATCTCATTTAATAAATTGCAAGAGATTTGTGAAACAAGACATTATTTTTCCTCATTTTACAAATGAGAAAACTGAAACATTAGGAATGTTAAGCCATATAGCTCAGCAAGTAGAAAAGCAGATACTTCAAGCAGTATCCTCTCCATTACCCTGTATTTACAGTTTTGGATTCATTGATTTTTTTTTTTTCCCATTACGGCCCGTACCTTGTTGAACCTATAGGAGGCCATATAATCTAATACAGCACAATATAACTTTCCATTTTACCTTCACCAGTTTTTCATCTTCTCTTCAAAGCCATTGTTCAAAATCATAAAACTTAATTTGTCTATATCCCAGACTGCTTTGCCCATATTTAGGGCATATTCATCTGTCATTACTAAGATGTAAGTATGTGCGTTGTAGGGTAGAATGATCCTGGAGTCTAAGAGAAACTTACTTTTCTGAGAGAGAGAGAGAGAGAGAGAGAGAGAGAGAGAGAGAGAGAGAGAGAGAGACAGACACAGAGGGAGGGAGAGAGAGAGATATATATAAAAAACCCAAAACCAAAAAGCATTGAGTTATCTGAATTTCTTCACTTTACATTCAGGCATTTAATGTAGGGACTTCATTATTCAACTCCAGTAGATGATGTTATAAACCTGAGATTTTAAATTTATGTGGTGCTTGAGTTGGGAATTTGGACTGTAACTAACTATTATTTTCTGATATATGACTTGAATCTTTATAGCTTTCTGGCTGCTGAATTTCAATCTTTCTTTGATATTCAGTTCTTATTTCTTACTAATAAAAACCCTTAGGTCCCATGCTTTTTTGTGCATGAGCTATGTTTCATGCTCTGCCTGTACTTAAATACTGGTTTCCTTCCATTATGCTTGCTACCTAAGAGAATCTTGCCACTGTACATCCCCAATGATTGTATTATGTATTTATTTAGCATGTTTGATTTGATCCTAATGTAATCACTCTAGTAGATGTGCATGGGTTTTGTTTAGCACCATGTTTGGTCAAGATGTTTATGCAGACCAAGTTGCCCAAAAATGTTCTCATTCTTCTATTTTTTTTTCTTTATGCATGAAAGTTGACTTTTATTCTTTGAATATGGGGATTGTTCTCTTTGGTTTCATGTTCCTTAGAAACAAATTCACACCTAAGAAGGAATTGTTTATCTCACCTGTACTGTGGATCTATTCAGAGTAGTATTTCTAGGAAGTGCATACAACGGTTGGTATGTGGGGTATCTTTGCAGATGGACTGACTCATTTTCATCTCTTTCAAAAGTCTTTGAGTCTGGGCTACAGAAATATTGCTTTGTGGTCTTTGAATATTGCATATACCTTCCTTTGACTTTGAAATGCTTCAGCTTTTCTGTTGCACCATTTTCTGGTCCTCTTTTTCTAGATGATACCTCGAGCCTGGCCAATTTCTAGTTTAAGAATCCAAGTGGCATGACTCAATAAAGCCTCATTCCACTTTTATGTTTTATAGAGTCTCCCATTAGAATATCAGTAACAACAGAAGGAGCAAATACTTCTTCATGTAAGTATTTTTAAATATTCTGTTCATTAGTTTTTAACCCCAAACAATACCTGCTTCCTAAGATCATATTCATGTCTATCCTCTGCGCTTATTGAGGGGCAAGGTATCAAGTCTGGGAGCAGGTGGTATTTGCTGTTTGGAATAGAAATAGCCCCCTGCAGTGTTTGGAGTCAACTAGATAACCCTCCCTAAGATATGTATGGATATTAAAACATACCACACATGTGGTGGTTTTAGGAAAATGTAGTGTCTTTGAATGCTAGAAAATAGCTGCATAGCCTCTGAGGCCTGTTCTGGGTGAGCGGTAGAGAACACTGTGTTTTTGTGTGTTTTTTTAAGAGTGTCATGATGCCTTCAGCATGATGCTTGAGGCGTGATACCCAGTTATCTGGGGCCTCTAGTCCAATTCTCCTCAGTTCTCCTATAAAGTCTGCTATGATGGAGTAAGGAAACTATATATAGATGCCCTTAATTCAAATTTGATAGCAAGTGACTAATTACAAAAATGTTTGAAAGCACGTCCCTAGGCAAGATCTCAGAGTCGTTTTCATCTGTTTAATGTTAAATGTGCTCTGTGCTTATGGAGTTCTACAACTGTTAGATTGATTGGTGCTTTGTGCTATGTCAGGGGAACTTAAGGCATTAGCAAGGACTAGTAAAAATAGTTTTGATACTTATAAATTTTGAATAACATAGAATTAAATTTTGATATCCAACAAGGGAATTTATCAGAACTTGAAAATAAAATTTGTAACGACAGCCTTTCCCTTATGTTAACTCTTTATTTAAAGCTAGTCCTCAGTTGGTAAACTCTTCAATAAATAGATGTTCCCCGTTATTCAATGCCAACCTGGAGCATGTGCTGAAGGAACAATTTCTTTTCAGCGTGGTAGGCACCCTTTGAAAAGAAGGTCTGTACTTTTGGCAACATCAGTTGTTTTGTCAATCTGTTTAAATAGCTACCATTTGACCTCAAGCCTTTCCTTTCGGGTTGGTGGTACCAGAACTGTAATGGTACGATGTAAACATATTTCTTATTGCATGAAGTAGATGGTTTGTCTACATTTGAGCTAGATAATGCATCATTTAACTGGATTAATGATAACAATCTAGTGAGATCAAACAGGAAATGAAATGCTAAGAAGGACTAAATTGGCTCCCTCTGTTTTCTAAGGACACTCATTACATACTCCAAAACGATAATCCCTCCTGGGGGAGTTCAGGATATTTGCTATTGCTATTTAATTCTACTTATAAAAAAATTAGTATAATTATATAGATTTGAGCTAACTGCCATGAAGGAATCCTGCTGAGCTTTGTTTTATAGTTTTCAGTGTTTATTATACAAAAGCAAATACTAAATTGTTTCTTTTTGGCGCTTTGTCTGGGAATAATTTTTCCCCTGCATGATTCATTGAATAAAGTTATTGAAACTCTGGTAATTGGAATCCTTCATGGTATCATTAATGGGTGCTATTCCTAAGCGTAGCTGAGTAATTTTGGAAGAGAAGACTTATTTCTTTTGGTTTTTCCAAAGTCTGAAGGAACTGAAATGAATCTCTCAGTTCACATTTTTCTATGCATTGCAATATTGTTGAGAGGAAAATAATTTTCAAATCTGACGTGGATCTCTAACTCTCAGCAGAATTAGTTCCTGACTGGCAGTAAAAGTTTAAGACTAAGAATGAAGGCTTTCTATACCATTACGTTAAAATATTTCAATGTTCCGTTTTCATACATCACTCCCCATTCAGGGTAGGCCCTCAGTAAATATTGTTGAATTGATTAAAGAATACATTGTTTTCATCTCATGAAAACCATGCTTTATTATTTGAAAATAGAAACCGGTAGTGGCAGCATCCTAAGTCCAGCCTTGGTCAGAGCAATGAAAGCAGCCTGAGTCACTCAGCTCATTTACAGGCAACGTCGTGCTGCACTCTGCATTGCAGGAGTGCGTGACATCAACGCATCTCTATTTAGTAAGGGCTGAAGGTGAAACCTGAAGAATCGGCGCTGGCAATAAGCTGGGTGTAAACGTTCAGAATATGTAAGAGTCAGAGGTCTTGAAAGAGTTCACATGGGTCAGAAATAATCAGCCCTGAAGAACAGGGTTTTGTTTCTGGTTTTTTTTTTTTTTTTTCCCACTTAGTATCAGCCAGAAAGGAGGCACTGGGAATTCCCTGTGTGTGAAAAGCGAACTACGCTATTATAATGTAATCATGTCTGTGTGGCTACATTCTTTGAACTATTGACATTGGTGTTTTCTAAAGTAAATTTTGAAAGGCCGTTCTGAAGTAGTATGGATTCAGCAAAGCTGTTATGTATTATAAGGGTTTGGGGTGTTTTGGGGGTCAGTGTGACAAAAAGTGCTGCAGCTTTGTTACTTTTCAGCTCCTTAAGGTACAAATGTGCACATCCTTATAGGGAAACGCCCCCCCCTTCCTGCCAGCCCTGTTTTGAAAGCCGCTCCCTGCTGGGTGAATCTTGAGAGGGTTCAGCAGTGGTAGTTTGTGTCCTTGGTCCTGCTGGATACCCTGTCTGTGATGCCAGGTGTCTTCTCAGCCACCATCTTGTTTCTCCCCAAAGCCTTCCCTGACCCCCCCCTTGGCCCTCAAACTTCTGCTTTTCTCTTCCAAAGCTCATGTTGGAATAGAAAAAGCAAAAAGAAGAAAATAAGAATTGCCCACCTACCTAACAGAAGTAATATTGCTAATATTTAGTGTTTTTTGTTCTAATCAGTGTTTTTCATTCAGGTTTTCTACTTATCCAACCTCCCTCTTATCTACTTAATGCATCATAAGCATTTTCCCCATGTTATTAAATAAGTATTAGAAATTTAAAACAAAATTTTAACCTAAAATTTTTTAATATTCTTTTTTTTGAAACCACGGTAACAATAAAATCATTCTTGATTAGGGGGTTTTAAGGGGTACATTTTTCATGTGCAAACACATCATTTTTGCCCTCTTTGTATTTATTTTTCCTAGCATTGCATAGATATTGGTAGAATATCAAAGGTAGTAATCCTTCCCTTTGTGAGGCAAAATTTAACTACTTCTTTTTTGAAATTAGGAACTTGCATTGTACATTCACTACGTTTAGAATTGTTAATTATATATTTTTTAAAGTTTCTTATAATACGGTAATCTCCTGACAAAGATCAACATTATTTTCCTTCATTTTATTTTATTTGTAAATCGGGTATCTGTGATTTAAAACATATAAATAATTTGCTAAATGAATATCCTATTACACACAAATGACAGGTTGTAGAAGGAGAAATTGAATCTTACAAAACACTAAGTAGGACTATCCTATTCCTGCTTTATATAGAATCAGCAAAAAAGCAAGTAGATTGTTTAGAACAACCTTAATGACTTCTCTGAAATGCCAGCTGCCGATGACCCCATTTTGCAGATGATTTTGTTGAATGCTAGAAGAAATCCAATTGTTAAAACAACCACTTTGCTAAATTAAGCACCATCCATTCCAATTTAATATATAAATTAGGAAAACAAAAAATGAAAAGCCTAATGAATAGAAATAGGAAAGAAAATAAAGATAAGTTTCTGGAAAATAGTCTTAAGTAGTAATATGTTTCAAATAATGATTAATAATAATAATAAATAATAATAGCAGACATTTATTGAAGACTTACTATGTGCCAGGTGCTATGCTGGCAATTCACGTGAATGATGGCTGATAGTTCTTACAAAACCTTATTCCGTTTTTCAGATGATGACCCTGATGTATCTTGTCTAAAGTCATACTTTAGCAGGATGAACCCTAGTCAGCACTCGGCTGCTATGATGCATGAGGTTTAGTTGCCTCAAAGAAAAATCCTTTAATATTAAAAGGAATGAGATTCTGTGAATGGACTGAAGAGTAGCCTTTGATACAAAGTGAAGTGGGAGTATGTGTTGTAGATTAAGGTAAATACATTGCCTGGAACCAGCTGATCCCATATAATCTTTATGTTACACATCAAAGCATGACAGGTGGTGAGGTGAAATGGAAAGAACGCACACTTTGGGTACACTCATGTTCCTAAGTTTAAATAGTGGTGCTTTCAATTACGGTGTAATCTTAGGCAAGTCATTTAACCTCCCTGAGATGCAGTTTCTATGTCTGTATAATCTTATGCATCTCAAACCTATGTGGGTAAGCTTAATGTGGGAAGATGAACGAGACTCGTTTAGGACAGCCTTGCTTTCATATGGTCTCCCCTGAGTATGGAAGAGAGCGAATACCTAAAAGAAGTGATGTGGCACTGAAGATAGAATGGAAATTAAGGGAGTCCTTGCCTCTTATTTCAATAACGTAGGGCAACGTCCTTATTGTTGGAGGAGGAAGACAGTTAATGGTTTTTAGTCTGAATGATTCTGCTGGAAAGAAAGTTCTGTGCCAAGAAATCACTGTGTCTTTTCAAAATATTATATATCCTCAGCTAAAGCTACATTTTAAAGGAACTTATCCAGGAAGTCCTCTTTGGGATCTCTGAATGAAATGAACAATTCAATCTTTAATTTGGCACCTGAAAGAGCTAGCTGAAGGGAAAAGAAAAATGTCTTTTGTCTGCAGAGACATTTCTGTTATAATGAGATACAGCATTTTCACTTGGGAATAGCACAGTGATATGTATTGATTAGATGGGACCAGGTCTGCTGGCCCATTGGTGAGATTTAGAGCTATGGTTCTTACATTCCACCCTCAGCTATAACTGACTTACCTGCTTTAATGGTACAGGAAACTGCCTAGACCTTTGCTTAATGATTCTCAGCTAGGAAAAAAATGGTTTTTCGATTTCAGATCTTTATTTGTGGCAAAATATGAACTCCGTCCTGTTATTATTGGAGAGCTTCTTCTTGAATTCAGATTTTTCCAGGTTTCTATAAACATGTCCTTTTCAAGGGTGTGGTGGCTCTGTTTACTGTAGACAAACAAATGACCATGCATCATATAGCAATAAAATATAATTTGAAAAGGAAATTGTGCAACTG